TTTTGACCTAAAAGTGACCCAGAACTTTATGGAGGCCCAGACCTCTATGGTGGCCAAGACCTCTGTGGTGGCCTAGACCTCCATGGTGGCCTAGACCTTTGTGGTGGCCTAGACCTCTGCGCTGGCCTAGACCTCTACTTTGGCCTAAAAGTGGCCCAGAACTTTATGGAGGCCTAGACCTCTATGGTGGCCTAGACCTTTGTGGAGGCCTAGACCTCTACACTGACCTAGACCTCTACATCGACCTAAAAGTGACCCAGAACTTTATGGAGGCCCAGACCTCTATGGAGGCCCAGACCTTTGTGGTGACCTAGACCTCCATGGAGGCCTGGATCCCTCTGTTAGCTGAGGCCTCTGCGGTGGCCAAGACCTCCACGGAGGCCAAGAGATCTGTGCTGCTCCCCTCCCCGCTGATGGGGCACCCCCCTGTCCCCCCCAGGTGCGGACGGCGCAGAAGGACCTGCCTGAGAACCGCCAGGCGTCACGGCGGATGACGGCCCGGGCCTACCGCAGCCAGGCCGGCTCCGGGAACTTCCTGCACTTGGCCGTGCAGGCCACGGAGCTGAAGGTTGGGGAGAGCGTGCCCATCAGCTTCCACCTCAAGAGCAACAACAACGACGTCCGCAACAGCGTCAAGTACTTCACCTACCTGGTGGGTGCCGGCCCTGGCTCAGGGGGTGGGCTGGCTGAGGTGTCCAGAGTGACCAATGATCATGGCCAAGATGACCAATGGATGTGTCCAGGGTGACCAGTGTCCATGGCCAGGCTGACCAATGACCATGGCCAAGGTGACCAATAACATGGCTAGGGTGACCAATGGTCATGACCAAGGTGACCAATGACCAGGACCAGGGTGACCAATGACTGTGTCCAGGATGATCAGTGACAGTGACCAGGTTGACCAACAGCCATGACCAAAAAGTGACCAACGACCACAACCGTGGTGACCAATAGCCATGTCCAGAGTGACCAACAGCCATGGCCAAGATGACCAATGGCCATGGCCAAAGTGACCAATACCCACTTGCAGAGTGACCAATGACCATGGTGACCAATGACCATGGCCAAGGTCACCAACAACCATGGTCAAGGTGAGCAATGACCATGACCAGGGTGACCAATGACCATGGTGACCAATGACCATGGCCAAGGTGACCAGTGACCACAACCAGGGTGACCAGTGACCATGGCCAAGGTGACCAGTGGTCATAGCTGAGGTGACCAATGACCATGACCAGGGTGACCAATGACCATGGTGACCAATGACCATGACCAAGTTGACCAACAACCATAGTCAAGGTGACCAACAACCATGGTCAAGGTGAGCAATGACCATGACCAGGGTGACCAATGACCATGATGACCAATGACCATGGCCAAGTTGACCAACAACCATAGTCAAGGTGACCAATGACCATGGCCAAAGTGACCAATGACCATGACCAGGGTGACCAATGACCATGATGACCAATGACCATGGCCAAGTTGACCAACAACCATAGTCAAGGTGACCAATGACCATGGCCAAAGTGACCAATGACCATGACCAGGGTGACCAATGACCATGATGACCAATGACCATGGCCAAGTTGACCAACAACCATAGTCAAGGTGACCAATGACCATGGTGACCAACAACCATGACCAGGGTGACCAATGACCATGGTGACCAATGACCATGGCCAAGTTGACCAACAACCATAGTCAAGGTGACCAATGACCATGGTGACCAACAACCATGACCATGGTGACCAATGACCATGGTGACCAATGCCCATGGCCAGGGTGACCAATGACCACGACCATGGTGACCAATGACCATGACCAAGGTGACCAACGACCACAACCAGGGTGACCAATGACCATGACCAAGGTGACCAATGCCCATGGCCAGGGTGACCAATGACCACAACCAAGGTGACTGAAGACCATGTCCAGGAGTGGTCACCGTGGGCCAGCACAGCAGGACATGGGGGGACTGGGATGTCCTGGACACCCGTGGTGGCCGGGGGTGTGTTGAGGGGGTCACGCTGGTCACTCGCTGCCCGGGTGGCCGCCACCAACGCGCTGTTCCTTGCCCGTGCCAGATCATGAGCAGGGGCCGCATCGTCCGCGCCGGGCGGCAGCCCTACGAGGCCGGGCAGAGCCTGGTCACCATGACCCTGCCGGTGACGGCCGACCTGCTGCCCTCCTTCCGCGTCGTGGGCTATTACTTCGTCCTGCCGGAGGAGATCGTGGCCGACTCCATCTGGGTGGACGTCAAGGACACCTGCATGGGCACCGTGAGTGTCCCCCCGGCCCCACAGGGGTGGGGAGGGGACCTGGGGACCTTGGGGTGGCCCTTGAGGGGTTTGGGGGGGGTTCTTGAAGGAGCTGAAGGGTCTTTTCCTGCGAGGGTTTGGGTGGCCCTTGAGGGACTTGGGTGGTCTTTGGTGGGGGGGAGGTTTGGGTGGGAAGCCTTTGGAAAGGCTTTGGGGGGGGCCCTTAAGGGGCTTGATGGGGCCTTTGGAAGGGCTTGGGGTGGTCCTTGAGAGACTTAGGGACACTTGAAGGACTTGAGGGGCCCTTGTAGGACTTGGGAGGGCTTGGGGGGACCTTGAGGGACTTGAGGGAGGTCTTTGTAAGGGCTTTGGTTTTGGGGGAAGGTTTTTTGGGGTCTCCCGCACCCCTGGGGTCGGGGTTCCCCATGGGTCGGGTTCTGAGGGTCTCAGGGAGGGTTTTTGGGGACTCCTGGGGTCGGGGTTCCCCACGGGTCAGGTTCTGGGGGTCTCAGGGAGGGTTTTTGGGGTTCCCTGGGGTTGGGGTTCCGCACGGGTCAGGTTCTGAGGGTCTCAGGAAGGGTTTTTGGGGTTCCCTGGGGTTGGGGTTCCGCACGGGTCAGGTTCTGAGGGTCTCAGGAAGGGTTTTTGGGGTCCCTGGGATCGGGGTTCCCCACGGGTCAGGTTCTGGGGGTCTCAGGAAGGGTTTTTGGGGACTCCTGGGGTTGGGGTTCCCCATGGGGCAGTTCTGAGGGTCTCAGGAAGGGTTTTTGGGGTTCCCTGGGATTGGGGTTCCCCACGGGTCGGGTTCTGGGGGTCTCAGGGAGGGTTTTGGTTTCCCTGGCATTGGGGTTCCCCATGGGGCAGTTCTGAGGGTCTCAGGAAGGGTTTTTGGGGTCCCTGGGATCGGGGTTCCCCATGGGTCAGGTTCTGAGGGTCTCAGGAAGGGTTTTTGGGCTCTCCAACACTCCTGGGGTGGGGGTTCCCCACGGGTCGGGTTCTGGGGGTCTCAGGGAGGGTTTTTGGGGCCGTGACCCGGAGGTGACCCCGTGTGCCCCACAGCTGGTGGTGAAGGGGGCGACAGAGGCCGACAATCAGGTGCACCGGCCGGGGAGCCCCATGAGGCTGCGCATCGAGGGCGACCACAAGGCCCACGTGGGGCTGGTGGCCGTGGACAAGGGGGTCTTCGTCCTCAACAAGACGAACAAGCTCACCCAGACCAGGGTGGGTGCCTGGGGGGACCCCTCCCCTCTGTCCCCGCTGTCCTCAGGGGGTGGCAGTGGCTGTCACAGCTGTCCCTTGAGGGGGGTGGCAGTGCCTGTCCCCACTGTCCCCAGGGGGTGGCAGTGGCTGTCCCAACTGTCCCGTGGTGGTGGTGGTCATCACAAGTGTCCCCTGGGGATGGTGGCACTGGCCATCATGAGTGTCCCCTCTTGGTGGCAGTGACCATCACATCTGTCCCCTGTTGGTGGCAGTGGCCATCACAGCTGTCCCTTGGTGGCAGTGACCATCACAAATGTCCCCTGGTGGTGGTGGCAGTGGCCATCACAAGTGTGCCCTGGTGGTGGTGGCACTGGCCATCATGAGTGTCCCCTCTTGGTGGCAGTGGCCATCCCTTCTGTCCCCAGGGGGTGGCAGTGGCTGTCCCCCCAGTCCCCAGGGGGTGGCAGTGGCCATCATGGCTGTCCCCAGGGGGTGGCAGTGGCCGTCCCAGCTGTCCCCTGTTGGTGGCAGTGGCTGTCCCAACTGTCCCCTGGTGGTGACAGTGGCCATCCCAGCTGTCCCTTGGTGGTGGCAGTGGCTGTCCCAACTGTCCCCAGGTGGGTGACAGTGGCTGTCCCAACTGTCCCCTGTCGGTGGCAGTGACCATCCCCGCTGTCCCCAGGGGGTGGCAGTGGCCGTCCCAGCTGTCCCCTGGTGGTGGCAGTGGCCATCCCAGCCGTCCCCTGGAGGTGGCCATGACCGTCACAGGTGTCCCCTGGCGCTGGTGGCAGGTTTGGAACACGGTGGAGAAGAGTGACATCGGCTGCACCGCGGGCAGCGGGAGGGACAACGTGGGGGTCTTCGCTGACGCCGGGCTGAGCTTGGCCACCAGCGTGAAGATCACGACGCCACAGCGGTCGGGTAGGACGGGGCAGGCGGGGACAGCCCAGGGGGGACACGGGAGGGGACACCACGTTGGGGACAAGGGAGGTGGCACCTCGGGGATGTGAAACCTCAGGGACACGGGAGGTGACACCTCGGGGGGGAGGGAGGTGGCACCTCAGGAACACCTTGGGGGTCGGGGAGGTGACACTTGAGGGATGGAGGATGGGCCATCTTCAGGGGTGGGGAAGGTGTCACAGGGGGAGGTGATGCACTGTGGGGGTGACACTTCAGGGATGTGCCACCTCGGGAATTGGGGAGGTGACACCTCGGGAATGGGGGAGGGGACACCTTGGGAATGGGGTAGGTGACACTTCGGGAATGGAGGAGGTGACACTTCAGGGATGTGACACCTCCAGGATGGGGGAAGTGACACCTCAGGGAATGGGGGAGGTGACCTTGAGCTTTGGGATGTGACAGCTGAGGCCAAGGGGATGTCGGGCTGTGGGGCTGGGACACTGTGGGGTCCTGAGCCCTGTCCCCTGTGTCCCCTGTGTCCCCAGAGCTGCAGTGTCCCCAGGAGGCCAAGCGCAGGCGCCGCTCGCTGCAGCTCACGGAGTACAAAGGCACCAAGGGTGGGTGACAGGGGCGTGTCCCTGGTGACACCACAGCATCCCCAAGGGACACCAGAGTGTCCCCTGTCCCAAAGGCCACCAGGGTGTCCCATGTCCCTGGGGGACACTGGGACATGCCATGTCCCAGTCCATACCAGTGTCCATGTCCCTGGTGACACCACAGCATACCCAAGGGACACCAGAGTGTCCCATGTCCCTGGGGGATACTGGGACATCCCATGTTCCAGTCAGTGATGGTGTCCCATGTCCCTGAGGAACCCCAGTGTGTCCCATGTCCCTGATGACACCAGGGTATCCCACATCCCTGAGGAACCCCAGAGTATTCCACATCCCTGAGGAACCCCAGAGTGCCCCATGTTCCTGGTGACACCAGAGTATCCCACATCCCTGAGGAACCCCAGAGTGTCCCCTGTCCCTGAGGAACCCCATAGTATCTCACATCCCTGATGACACCAGAGTATCCCACATCCCTGAGGAACCCCAGAGTGTCCCCTGTCCCTGAGGAACCCCAGAGTATCTCACATCCCTGAGGAACCCCAGAGTATCCCATGTGCCTGAGGAACCCCAGAGTGCCCCATGTCCCCGAGGGCCCCCGGGGTGTCCCCCCACCGGGTGCCAGCGGGTGTGGCGGTGCCGGCAGCGTCCGAGTACCAGGACAAGCTGCTGCGGAAGTGCTGCGAGGACGGGATGCGGGAGATCCCGATGGATCACAGCTGCGAGCAGAGGAGCTCCTACATCCAGGAGGGAGAGTCCTGCGTCCGGGCCTTCCTCGACTGCTGCAAGTACATCGAGGACATCCGCAGGGAGAAGCGGCGGCAGCAGAACCAGCACCAGCTGGCACGAAGCAAGTGCTGGGATGGGCTGGGAGGGCGGGAGAGGTGGGAGCGGGGCAGCCTCGGGCGTTCCTGGGGGGAAACTGGGGGAAGGTTGGGAGTTCCTTGGGTGTCCTTGGGGGAAGGTTGGGAGTCTCTTGGACGTTCCTTGGGGGAAGGTTTTGTGATCCTGAAGAAAAGCTTGGGTGAAGGTCAGGTGAACCTCAGGGGTTTCTTGGGGGAAGGTTGGAGTTCCTTGGGTGTTCCCTGGGGGAAGGTTGGGAGTCCTGGGTGTTTCCTGGGGGAAGGTTGGGAGTTCCTTGGGTGTTCCCTGGGGGAAGTTTGGGAGTTCCTTGGATGTTCCTTGGGGGAAGTTTGGGAGTTCCTTGGGTGTTCCTTGGGGGAAGATTGGAGTTCCTTGGGTGTTTCTTGGGGGAAAGTTGGGAGTCCTGGGTGTTTCCTGGGGGAAGATTGGGAGTCTCTGGGTGTTCCCTGGGGGAAAGTTGGGAGTCTTGGGTGTTCCCTGGGGGAAAGTTGGGAGTCTCTTGGGTGTTCCTTGGGTGAAGGTTGGGAGTCTTGGGTGTTCCCTGGGGGAAAGTTGGGAGTTCCTTGGGTGTTCCTTGGGGGAAGGTTGGGAGTTCCTTGGGTGTTCCTTGGGGGAAGGTTGGGAGTCTTGGGTGTTTCCTGGGGGAAGGTTGGGAGTCTCTTGGGTGTTCCTTGGGGGAAGGTTGGGAGTCTCTTGGATGTTCCTTGGGGGAAGGTTGGGAGTTCCTTGGGTGTTCCTTGGGGGAAGGTTGGGAGTTCCTTGGATGTTCCTTGGGGGAAGGTTGGGAGTCTTGGGTGTTTCCTGGGGAAGGTTGGGAGTTCCTTGAATGTTCCCTGGGGGAAGGTTCGGAGTTCCTTGGATGTTCCTTGGGGGAAGGTTGGGAGTTCCTTGGGTGTTTCCTGGGTGAAAGTTGGGAGTCTCTTGGGTGTTCCTTGGGTGAAGGTTGGGAGTTCCTTGGGTGCTCCTTGGGGGAAGGTTGGGAGTCCTGGGTGTTCCTTGGGGGAAGGTTGGAAGTTCCTTTTGCTGTCCTTGGGCAAAGCCTTTAATGTTGGGTGAATGTTGGGTGAATGTTGGGTGAATTTTGGATGGGGGCTGGGTGAATTTTATGTGAATTTTGGATGGAAGTTGGATGAATGTTGTGTTAATTTTGGATGAGTTTTTGTGAATTCGGGATGAAAGTTGGATGAATGTTGGTGAATGTTGGGTTAGTTTTGGGTGAATTTGGAGTGAATGTTGGACGAATGGTGGTGAATGCTGCATGCATTTTAAGTGGCTTTTGGGTGAATTTTGGATGAATGTTGGGTGACTTTTGGGTGAATTTTTCGTGAAAGTTGGGTGAAGGTTGGATGAATTTTGGGTGACTTTTGGGTGAGTTCTGATTGAATTTTATGTGAATTTTTGGTGAACGTTGGATGAATGTTGGATGAATGTTGGGTTAATTTTGGGTTAATTTGGGATGAATGTTGGATGAATATTGGTTGAATTTTGGATGAATGCTGGGTGAATGTGTGGTGAATGTTGGGTTAATTTTGGGTGAATTTGGGGTGAATGTTGGATGAATGTGGGGTGAATGTTGGGTGAATTTGGGGTGAATGTTGGATGAATGTTGGGTGAATTTGGGGTGAATTTTGGATGAATTTGGGGTGAATGTTGGGTGACTTTTGGGTGAATTTAGTGTGAATGTTGGGTGAATGTTGGGTGACTTTGGGGTGAATTTGGGGTGAACGTTGGGTGGGCAGCGCTGGGGGTTGCCCGGCCCGAGCTGGGGTGATATCAGCTCCGCTCAGGGGTTGGGGCCATGAGGCCACGGTCGAGAGGGATGCCCCCACCCTCAGGCGAGAAGGACGTCGTGTTCATGAGTGACGAGGAGATCGTCACACGGAGCCTCTTCCCGGAGAGTTGGCTGTGGCAGGTGGAGCATCTGACAGAGCAGCCCAACCAGCTGGGGTGAGCCCTGCCCCTGTCCCCCTATCCTACCCCCCACCAGAGCCCACCCTGGGGGTCACCTCCCCCTCCCTGACCACCCCCAAATCCACACCGAGGTCACCCCTGACCCGCTGGTGCTGCCTCAAGACCGCCTTGGTCCACCCAGGGCTCATCCCAAACCTGCTGCTTTGTCTTGGGGACCAGCTCCGACCCCTGCCCCCAGCTCCACCCTGGGGGCTTGTGACATCCCCTTGGGGTGGGGTTGGGGTGGGTTGGGACCCCCTTGGTGACCCTCCCCCTCTCCAGGGTGTCATCCAAGACCGTGCCTGTGTACCTGAAGGACTCCATCACCACCTGGGAGGTCCTGGCCGTCAGCCTCTCGCCCAACAAGGGTATGTCACAGACAGGGAGGGTGTCCCTGGGGGCCAAAGGAACCCCCCCAAACCTTGGGAGAGGTCCCTGGGACCTGAAGGGTCCCCTAAAGCCCGGAGGGTTTCCTTTGTGCTTTGAGGGATCCCCAAAAATCTTAGGGGGAGATCCCACCAAGCTTGACGGGAGTCCCTGGAACTTGAGGGGTCCCCTAAACCTTGGGAGGACTCCGTGGATCTTGAGGGACATGCCCTAAACTTTGGTGGAGCGGGTGGGACCTGGGGGATCTCCTAAACCTTGGGAGGACTCCATGGGTTTTGAGGGATCCCCTAAACCTTGGGAGACCTCCAAGAGATCCAAGACAACCCCTAAACCTGGAGGTGGCTCCCTGGGCTCTGAGGGCTCTCTGAGGCCTCGGGGCCGTCCCTGGGGGCATGATCCGACCAGAACCCCCCCAGTCCTGACCCTCCACGTCCCCCACAGGGCTGTGCGTGGCCGACCCCTATGAGATCACGGTGATGAAGGACTTCTTCATCGACCTGCGCCTGCCCTACTCGGTGGTGAGGAACGAGCAGGTGGAGATCCGGGCCATCCTCTACAACTACAATCTGGACGAGATCACCGTGAGTTGGGACCCACCCCGGGGGGCTTTGGGGGAAGAGGGAGGGGTCTGTGGCCTCCTGGATCCCCTGGAGAAGCTCTGAGAGAGTGTCCAAAGGAGGACCACGAGGACGGGAAAGGGCCCTGAGGGGCACTTGGTGTGTCCAGCTGGAGGAGACGGAGGGGAGACCTCATCCCATAGTCTCCCAGCACGAGGAGATGGGAGCCCACCACAGCTTCCTGGGGAGGGGAAGAGGAGGGGCAGGCCCTGATTTCTGCTCGGAGGGGACCAGGGACAGGACCCTGGAGCTGTGCCAGGGTTGGGTCAGGTGGGATCTCAGGAGAAGGTTCTTCCCCCAGAGGGTGGTCGGGCACTGAACAGGCTCCCCAGCGTTTGGGCACAACAACACCAAGGCTGTCAGAGCTCCAGGAATGTTTGGACAACGCCCTCAGGGATTTTGGGGTGTCCTGGGCAGGGTTGGACTGGATAATCCTCAGAGGTCCCTTCCATCTGAGGATATCCCACGATTTTAGAGCTCAGGGAACGTTTGAACAACACTCTCTGGAACTTGGTGGCATTTTGGGGTGCCCTGGGCAGGGGATTGGACTGGATGATCCTTGGGGGATCCCTTCCCACTCTGGATATCCCACGATTCCCTTTTAGAGCTCAGGGAATGTCTGGACAACACTTTCAGGCACTTGGAAGGATTTTGGGGCGTCCTGGGCGGGGGAGTGGACCGGATGATCCTTGGGGAGGTCCCTTCCCACTCGGGGCATCCCGTGACTCTGTGCCCTCCCCCGTTGCCCCCCTGTGCCCCCCAGGTGCGGGTGGAGCTGGTGCACAACCCCGCCCTGTGCGGCCCCTCCACGTCCAAGAAGCGTTTCCAGCAGATCCTGCGCGTCAAGGCCGAGTCCTCCCGCACCGTGTCCTTCGTGCTCGTGCCCCTGCAGCTGGGGCTGCACGACGTCGAGGTCAAGGCGGCCGTCAGGGACAAGTACGTGGCCGACGGCGTCAAGAAGAAGCTCAGGGTGGTGGTGAGTGGCCCTCGCTGTTCCCCCCCACCGCCCCTCGGGTGTCCCTGGCACTGGGACGTCGCCGTGGCCGCCCTTTGTCCCGGGGTTGGCAGCCGGGGGTGGAGGATCGCCCTCCCAGGGATCCCCTAAACCTCGGAGGGATTCCTTGGGGCTTGAGGGATCCCCTAAAGCCAGTGAGGATTCCTTGGGGCTTGAGGGATCCCCTAAAGCCAGTGAGGATTCCTTGGGACTTGAGGGATCCCCTAAACCCAGTGAGGATTCCCTGGGGCTTGAGGGGTCTCCTAAACACTGGGGAGACTCCAAGACATCCAAGGGATCCCCTGGGACTTGAGGGATCCCCTAAAGCCAGTGAGGATTCCTTGGGGCTTGAGGGATCCCCTAAACCTTGGGAGAACTCCTTGGGGCTTGAGGGATCCCCTAAACCCAGTGAGGATTCTTTGGGACTTGAGGGGTCTCCTAAACACTGGGGAGACTCCAAGACATCCAAGGGATCCCCTGGGACTTGAGGGATCCCCTAAACTTTGGGAGAACTCCTTGGGACTTGAGGGATCCCCTAAACCCAGTGAGGATTCCTTGGGACTTGAGGGGTCTTCTAAACCTTGGGAGGACTCCTCGGGATTTGGGGTGGACTTCATGGGACTCGAGTGATCCCCTAAACCTTGGGAAGTCCCTGAGGCACCTTGGGGGACAGGGGACATGCCCTAAACCAGTGTGTCACACGCCCTGGGGGGCGCTGGCTTGTACTGGGACACCTTTCCTGGACAATGTGGAGGGGTTGGGAAGGGGGGACCCCGAAACCAACCCCGTTTATGGTTGGACTCTGCCCTGGGCAGCCCGAGGGGATGAGGCTGGAGAAGACGGTGAAGATCGTCGAGCTGGACCCACAGACCAAAGGAGTCAGTGAGTGACTGGGGCTGGTCCTGGCCCCACGGGGGGTCCCACCGAGGGCAGGACCTCAGGGATGTCCTGGGGATGGAGAATGTGCCCCCAAGGGCAGGTTTGGGGCATCCTGGGGGACAAGGGAAGTCCCACTGTGGGTCTGGGGTGTCTTGAGGGAAGAGGGAAGTCCCACTACGGGTTTGGGTTGTCTTGAGGGACCAGAGAAACCCCAGTGTGGATCTGGGACTTTTCAGGGGACAAGGGAAGACCCACTGTGGGTCTGGGGCATCCCTGGGGGCCAAGGGACACCCCACCATGGAACTGGGGCATCCCAGGGAATGAGGGGTGTCCTGCTTTGGGTCTGGGATGTCTTGGGAGCCAAGGGACACCCCACCATGGAACTGGGGCATCCCAGGGAATGAGGGGTGTCCTGCTTTGGGTCTGGGATGTCTTGGGAGCCAAGAGACACCCCACCATGGAATTGCAGCATCTCGAGGGAGAAGGGACATCCTGACATCCTGGCATAGCTCTGGAGGGTCTTTGAGGGCCCAGGGACATCCTGGGGCAGGGCTGGGTCACCTCAGGGCTTGGGGACAAGAAGGATTTTGGGTCACACCCCCCCATGCTGACCACCCTACCCCACAGATGGGGTGCAGGAGGAGAAGGTGAAGGCGGCGGATCTCTCTGACATCGTCCCCAACACCGAGTCGGAGACCAGAGTCAGCATCCAGGGTGAGTTTTGGGCTGGGGGCACGCCCGGGGACCACCTGTGGGGTTGGGGGTGGGGACACCTCCGGCTTGACCGGCCCCCTCCTCGTGGTGCAGGGAACCCCATGTCCATCCTGGTGGAGAAGGCCATCGACGGGAGCAAGCTGAAGCACCTGATCGTGGTCCCCTCGGGCTGTGGGGAGCAGAACATGATCTCCCTGACCCCCACGGTCATCGCCACACACTACCTGGACAACACCCTGCAGTGGGAGAACCTGGGGCTCGACCGCAGGGCCGAGGCCATCGAGATCATCAAAAAGGGTGGGGACATCCCCAAAGGGTGGGAACCTCCTCAAATGGTGGGAACCTCCTCAAAGAGTGGGAACCTCCTCCAAGGGTGGGTGGGAATATCCCCAAAGGGTGTGTGGGAATATCCCCCGAGGGGTGGGAACAAGCCCCAAAGGGTGAAAACATTCCCCAAGGATGGGAACATCCCCAAAGAGGTAGGTGGGAACATCCTCCCAAAAAAGGTGGGAATACTCTTCAAGGGATGAGAACATCCTTAAAAGGGTGGGTTAGAAGATCCCCAGAAGGGCGGGAACATCCCCAAAAGGCAGATGGGAACCTCCCCCAAAGGGGTGGGAACATTCTCAAGGAGCGAGTGGGAACATTCTCAGAGGGTGGGTGGGAGCCTCCCCCAGAGGATCAGAACATCCCCCAAAGGATCAGAACATCCCCCAGAGGGGTGGGGAAGTTCCTTGTGTTGGCCAACAACTGGGGAGAGGCCTAAAATCCACCCCTTGGTGTTCCTTGTCTTGGCCAATGGTTTGAGGGCATTGGTGGCCCAGAGCCACTCCTGGGCTGTCCTTGTGTTGGCCAGCAGCTGGAGGGCACTGGTGGCCTCCTTGGCTGCTCCTTGTGTTGACCAACGTTTGGAGGGTGGCCTGAAGCCACCTCTGGACACCCCTTGTGTTGGCCAATGGTTTTAAGAGTGTTGGTGGCCTAAAACCACACACAGATGCACCTTGTCTTGGCCAGTGGTTGGAGGGTGTTGGTGGCCCTAAACCACTCCTGGTTACTCCTTGTGTTGGCCAATGATTGGAGGGCATTGGTGGCTTGAAACTGCTCCCAGGTGCCCCTTGTGTTGGCCAACACTTGGATGGAAGATGTTGGTGGTCTGAAGACACCCCTGGGTGTTCATTGTGTTGGCCAACAATTGGAGGGCGTTGGTGACCTGAAGCCCCTCCGGAGCGTTCACTGTGTTGGCCAATGTTTGTAGAACCTTGGTGGCCCAAGACCACCCTTGGGTGCCCCTTGTGTTGGCCAACACTTGTAGAGTGTCGGTGGCCTGAAGCCACTCCCAGGTGACCCCTGTGTTGGCCGGTGATCGACTGGAAGGTGTTGATGGCCTCAAAGCCACCCTTGGCTGTTCCTTGTCATCTCGGCCAACACTCGGAGGGCTTGGGTGGCCTGACCCACCCCCGGGCCCCCCCTGGTGTTGACCACCCGCCCTCCCACCCCCAGGTTACGTCCAACAATTGGCCTACAAGAAATCTGACAACTCCTTCGCCGCCTTCACCAACCGCCCGTCGAGCACCTGGTGAGGGTTGGGGGGCCACGACCTTCCCCCAGCCCCTGGGTCCGGGTGACACGGCCGGAGGTGACACCTGGATCCTCCTGTCCCCAGGCTGACGGCCTACGTGGCCAAAGTGTTCGCCATGGCCAGCAAGCTGATCAGCATCGAGCACGAGGTCATCTGCGGGGCCATCAAGTGGCTCATCCTCAACAAGCAGAAGCCGGACGGGATCTTCCAGGAGGACGGTCCCGTCATCCACAACGAGATGCTGGTAAGGCGGGTGGACACGAACCCCCGGCCTGCTTGGCCTTCTGGAGCCATCCTGGCTCGGGGAGGGATGTTTGGGATGGGCTGCTGGGGTGGGGGGACTCTGCTGGTCATGGGTGGGACATCGGGAAGAAGGATGGGGACATTGGGGACAGGGAGGGCTTTGGGAACAGGGAGGGGAATTGGGGATGTTGGGGATAGGGACATCAGGAAGAAGGATGGGGACACTGGGGACAGGGAAGGCTTTGGGGACAGGGAGGGGAATTGGGGATGTTGGGAACAGGGACATCAGGGACAAGGATGGGGACACTGGGGACAGGGAAGGGGAATGGGGATATTGGGGACATTGGGGACAGGGAGGGGAATCGGGGATATTGAGGACAGGGACATCAGGGACAAGGATGGGGACATCAGGGAAATCAGGGGACAGGGAGGACACTGGGGACATTGGGGACAGGGAAGGGAAATGGGATATCGGGGACAGGGACTATGGGGGAAAGGACACTGGGGACAATGAGAGATAACACCGGGGACAGGGAAGGAAATTGGAGAGAGGGACATCAAGAAGAAGGATGGGGACACCGGGGACATCAGGGAGAAGGATGGGGACCCTGGGAGCATTAGGGGGTGAGGAGGACACTGGGGACATTGGGGACATTGGGGACACTGGGGACAGGGAGGGGAATTGGGGGTATTGGGGACAGGGACATCAGGGAGAAGGATGGGGACACTGGGGACAGGGAGGGGAATGGGGACATTGGGGACATCAGGGACAGGGAGGGTACAGGGAGGACATTGGGGGCATTGGGGACAGGGAGGACACTGGGGACATTGGGGACACTGGGGACAGGGAGGGGAATTGGGGACATTGGGGACAGGGACATCAGGGAGAAGGATGGGGAACTGGGGACAGGGAGGGGAATAGGGACATTGGGGATATCAGGGAGGGGAATGGGGACATTGGGGACATCAGGGACAGGGAGGGGACAGGGAGGACATTGGGGACATTGGGGACAGGGAGGGGAATGGGGACACTGGGGACATCAGGGAGGGGACAGGGAGGACATTGGGGACATCAGGGACAGGGAGGGGACAGGGAGAACACTGGGGACAGGGAGAGGGCAGGGAGGACATTGGGGACATCAGGGACAGGGTGGGGAACGGACAGCAGGGACAAATCCTGCTGGGACAGCCCTGACCCCGAGGTTTCTCCCCCCGCAGGGGGGTTACGTGGGGGCCGAGCCCGAGGTGTCCCTCACTGCCTTCGTCCTGGTGGCGCTGGAGGAGGCGCGGGAGGTCTGCAAGGGCCACGTGCAGGTGGGTGACACCCCCGGGGGGCGGGGAGGGGACAGCCAGCCCCCCTCACGGTGGCCCCTGAGGGTCTGAACTGCCGGTCCCCCACGCCCCAGAGCCTGGACGGGAGCATCAACAAGGCCGCCGACTTCCTGGCCCGGCGCTACGAGCAGCTGGCCCGGCCCTACACGGTGGCCCTGAGCTCCTACGCGCTGGCCCTGGCCGGGAAGCTCAAGAGCGAGAAGGTCCTCATGAAGTTCTCCAAAGGTGACGCCGCGATTCAGGCCCCCCGGGGAGCCGAAAATTGGGGCGGGGAGAGCCAAAATTGGGGTCCCTGGGGTGGGGGAGGTGGTTCTGGGGTCCCCCGGCGAGGCTCAAAGGTGGTGTCTCACCTGGGGGTCAGAATTGGGGCTGGGGAGGTGTTTATAGGGTCCCTGGTTGGAGGGAGGTGTTTATGGGGTCCCTGGTGAGGCTCAAAGGTGATGTCTCACCTGGGGGTCAGAATTGGGGTCGGGGAGGTGTTTATGGGGTCCCTGGTTTGAGGGAGGTGGTTCTGGGGTCCCTGGTGAAGCTCAAGAGCAAAGAGGGTTCTCACGAGGTTCTCTGATGGTGATGCCTCTGCTGGGGATCAGAATTGGGGTTGGGGAGGCGGTTCTGGGATCTGTGGGGTGGGAGAGGTGGTTGTGGGGTCCCTGTTGCTGGAGAGGTGTTTGTGGGGTCCCTGGTGAATGGGAGGTGTTTGTGGGGTCCCTGGTGCTGGGGAGAGATGTTTGTGGGGTCCCTGTTGCTGAGGAGGTGTTTGTGGGGTCCGTGGTGCTGGGGAGGTGTTTGTGTGGTGCCTGGTGCAGGGGAAGTGTTTGTGGGGTCCCTGGTGAAGTGGAAAGGGTGTTTATGGGGTCCCTGTTGCTGGGGAGGTGTTTGTGGGGTCCCTGGTGAATAGGGAGGTGTTTGTGGGGTCCCTGGTGCTGGAGAGATGTTTATGGGGTCCCTGGTGAAGGGAAAGGGTTTTTGGGGTCCCTGGTGAATGGGAGGTGTTTTTAGGGTCCCTGGTGAATAGGGGGTGTTTGTGGGGTCCCTGGCACCGGGGAGGAGCTGAGGGTCCCCCGTCCCCCCAGATGGGAGGAGCTGGGAGGAGCGGAACGCTCGGACCTACAACATCGAGGGCACGTCCTACGCGCTGCTGGCCCTGCTGCAGATGAAGAAGGTGGAGCTGGCGGGCCCCGTGGCCCGGTGGCTCTCCCAGCAGAACTACTTTGGGGGCGGCTACGGCTCCACCCAGGTGGGGTTCGAACCCCCTGACCCTCCGGGGGGGAGGCTGCGTCAGAATTGGGGTCGGGGAGGTGTTTATGGGGTCCCTGGTGAGGCTCAAAGGTGGTGTCTCAACTAGGGGTCAGAATTGGGGCCAGGGAGGTGTTTATGGGGTCCCTGCTTTGAGGGAGGTGTTTCTGGGGTCCCTGAGGTGGGGGAGGTGGTTCTGGGGTCCCTGGTGAAGCTCAAGAGCCAGGGGGTCCTCATGGGGTTTTCCAGAGGTGTCCTGGGGGTCAGAATTGGGGTGAGGGAGGTGTTTCTGGGGTCCCTGGTGTGGGGGAGGTGGTTCTGGGGGACCTGGTTGCCACAGGGAAGGGGTACAGGAAGACAGGGCTTGAGGGGTCACCTGGGGGACTCCACGGATATGGCTGATCTTTTTGGGAACATCTCTGGTGTCCCAGCTCCCAGAAGGTACTGGGGGGTGTTTGGGGTCACCTCGGGACCCCTGGGACACCCAGGGACACGCGTTGGGCTCAGGGAACCCTCCTGGTCCTACAGGATCTCAAGGGCTTCCCTTGGGGACATATCCTGTCCTTCCCTGGGGACACCTCTGTGGGGACAACTTCTGTCCTGTGGGGACGCCGTGTCCCGTCCTGTCCCTGGGGACAGCGGGAGATCCCTGAGGGTCCCCTCTGGGTGCCATCAGGAGCCCCCAGGCCGTGGGGTCACCTCGTGCTCGGGGCCACCCGGGGGGGCTGTGGGGCTGCCCCGGGCGGTGTCCCCAAGCCCTAGTGACACGGGTGTCCCCGCAGGCCACCATCATGGTGTTCCAGGCACTGGCCCAGTACCAGCTGGACGTTCAGAAGGGGCCAGAGCTCAACCTGGACGTGTCGGTGCTGCTGCCGCGCCGGGCCAACGCCATCAAGTACCGCATCGACAACAGCAACGCCCTGGTGGCACGGTCTGCTGAGGTACCCCCGTCACCTCTCACTGTCACCTGTCATCCTGTCACCTGTCACCTGTCACCCCTCACTTGTCACCGGGTCACCTGTCACCTGGCACCCTGTCACCTGTCACTTGTCACCTGTCACTTGTTACCCTGTCACGTGTCACTTGTCACCCTCTCACCTGTCACCTGTCACATGTCACCTCTCATTTGTCACTTCTCACCTGTCACCTGTCACTTGTCACACCTTACTTGTCACCCGTCACCTGTCACCTGTCACATGTCACCTGTCACACTCACCTGTCACTTAGCACCCTGTCATCCTGTCACCTGTCACCCCTCACTTGTCACCTGGTCACCTGGCACCTGGCACCCTGTCACCTGTCACTTGTTACCCTGTCACATGTCACCTGTCACACTCTCACCTGTCACCCCTCACTTGTCACCTGGTCACCTGGCACCTGGCTCCCTGTCACCTGTCACTTGTTACCCTGTCACATGTCACCTGTCACCCTCTCACCTGTCACCCGTCACTTGTCACCTCTCACTTGTCACTTCTCACCTGTCACCTGTCACCCATCACTTTTCACCTGTCAGCTGTCACTTGGCACCCTGTCACCTGTCACCTGTCACCTATCACTTTTCACCTGTCACTTGTCACTTGGCACCCTGTCACCTGTCACTCTGTCACCTGTCACCCATCACTTTTCACCTGTCACTTGGCACCCTGTCACCTGCCACCCATCACTTGGCACCCTGCCACCTGTCACCTGTCACCCACCCTGTCACCCTGTCCCTGTAACCACCCTGTCACCTTGTCACCTTGCCACCCTGTCATCACCTGCCACCCTGCCATTGTGACCCTGTCACCCTGCCAACCTCTCACCTCGTCACCCTCTCATCCTGCCACTCTGTCACCCTCTCACCCTGTCACCACCCTGTCCCTGTCCCCTCTGGGCCTCCTCATGTCCAAGGACAACTCTGTCCCCTCGCTGTGGCCTCGCTTGTCCCTGTCCCCTCCACGTCCTGTCCCCTCTGTGTCCTTTCAAGGCTTGGGGTGTCCCTGCTTTGTCCCTCCACATTCCAGCGTGACTGTGTCCCCTCCCTTGCTGTGACCTGGAATGTCCCTGTCACCCTCACATCACCTTCATGTCCCCATCGTGTCCTGCAACTTCCCTGTCCCCTCTGCATTGCAACATTGCTGTCCCCTCCGTGTCCTGCCTGTCCCTGTCCCTTCTGTGTCCCCTCCATGGCCCACGTCCCTCTCGTGCCCATCCCAGGGGACGTCCCCTGTCCCCCCCCAATGTCCCCTGTCCCCCCAACGTCCCCTGTCCCCCCACAACGTCCCCTGTCCCCGCAGACCAAGCTGAACGAGGACTTCACGGTGAAGGCCGAGGGGGTGGGCACGGGGAAGATGACGGTGGTGACCGTCTACAACGCCAAGGTCCCCGACAAGGAGGACAAGTGCGACAACTTCGACCTGCGCGTGCAGGTGGAGGACGTGAAGGCCGGTCAGTGTCCCTGGCGTGTCCCCTCCTTGTCCCTCCGTGCCCACCCTGTGTGCCCTTCGATGTCCCCTCATCGTCCCCGTGTCCCCACACAGGCAGGGAGGAGGGTGACATCATCAGCACCATCAAGATCACCATCTGCACCAGGTGGGACAGCCTGAGGACCTTGGGGACAGTGGGGACCTTGGGGACATTGGGGACGTTGGGGACACTGGGGACCTTGGGGACATTGGGGACATTGGGGACCTTGGGGACATGAGGGCCAGGGAGGGGGATGGGAAGGGAGGGACATCAGGGAGAAGGATGGGGACACTGGGGACAGCAGGGATGTTGGGGACAGGGAGGGGAATGGGGATATTGGGGACAGGGACATGGAGGAAAGGATGGGGCTATTGGGGACATCAGAGGCCACTGGGGACAGGGAGGGGGATGGCAGGGGAGGGACGTCAGGGAGAAGGATGGGGACTTTGGGGACAGGGAGGGGGACATTGGGGACAGGGAGGGGTATTGGAGTACTGGGGACAGGGACATCAGGGACAAGGATGGGGACCCTGGGGACAAACAGGACTCAGCCCCACCTTGTCCCACAGGGGTCCTTGGGGACAGGGACATCAGGGAAGGGGACACTGGGGACAGTGGGGGAGTTGGGGACAGGCGGGTGGCCTCAGCCCTGTCCCTGCAGGTACCTGGGTAAAGCGGATGCCACCATGTCCATCCTGGACGTGTCCATGCTGACCGGCTTCACCCCCGACCTCGAGGACCTCAAGAGGGTGAGCGTGGGGACACAGGGACGTGGGGACACATGGGGGGACGTGGGGACATGGGGACACATGGGGGGGAACATCAGGGGGACACTGTGTCTTTGCACCACTGTGTCCCACCATGTCCCCACATCTCCCAAGTGTCCCCTTCCATGTCCCTACCCCCTGTGTCCCTGTGTGTCCCCGTGTCACCTGTGTCCCTGTGTGTCCCCATGTCACTGCCTTTCCCTCCACAGCCACGTGTCCCCCGTGTCCCCTGGTGTCACTGTCCCTGTGTCCCCACGTGTCCCTGTGTGTCCCCTGTCCCCCACCACGGCCATGTGCCCCTGCATGTCCCCACGTGTCCCTGTGTGTCCCCATGTGTCCCCACATGTCGCCATGTGTCCCCATGTGTGCCTGGTGTCACCATGTCCCTGTGTGTCCCTGTGTGTCCCCATGTCCCTCTGTCCCTGTGTGTCCCTGTGTGTCCCTGTGCGCCCCTGTGTGTCCCTATGTCCCCAGTGTGATGCTGTCCCTGTGTGTCCCTGTGTGTCCTTTGTGTGCCCCTGTGTGTCCCCATGTCCCCGTGTCCCCCCAATGTGTCCCCGTGCCCCTGTGTCCCCAGTGTGACGCTGTCCCTGTGTCCCTGTGTGCCCCTGTGTGTCCCCATGTCCCCGTGTCCCCAGTGTGATGGTGTCCCTGTGTTCCCCTGTGTGTCCCTGTGTGTCCCTGTGTGCCCCTGTGTGTCCCCGTGTCCCTGGTGTGACGCTGTCCCTGTCCCCAGCTCTCGGAGGGAGTGGACAGGTACATCTCCAAGTACGAGCTCAACCACCTCCAGTCGGAGCGGGGCAACGTCGTCATTTACCTTGACAAGGTGGGGACAGGGAGGGGACAGGGATGGGGACATGGGAGGGGACAGGGAGGGGACAGAGGGTGACAGGGATGGGATAGAGATGGAGATATGAGGGGACAGGGATGGGACACAGATGGGGACACGGGTGGGACAGGGATGGGGACACGGGGGGGACAGGGAGGGGACAGGGATGGGCTGGGGATGGGACAAGAATGGGACAGGGATAGGGATTTGAGAGGACAGGGAAGGGAAAAGGGACAAGATGGGACAGGGATGGGGATGTGATGGGACAGGGATGGGGACAGGGACAAGATGGGACAGGGATGGGGACAGGGACGAGAAGGGACAGAGATGTGGCCACGATAGGACAGGGCCAGAGATAAGATGGGGAAGAGATGGGGATAGGAGGGGACAGAGCTGGGGACAGGGACAAGATGGGAAAGGGATGGGGACATGATGGGACAGGGATGAACACAGGGACAACTTGGGACAGGGACGAGGATGGAGTTGGGGATGTGGGCAGGGACAGGATGGGGACAGGGCTGAGGATGACACTGGGGACACAGGAGGGGACAGGATGGGGAGAGGGATGGGCTGGGGACACAGGGCGGGTTGGGGACACAGACAAGGACTGGAACAGGGCCACAGATGTGAATGAAGTTGGGGACGTGGATGGGGACAGAAGTGGGGACAGGAAAAGGTTCTTGGGGTGGGGACAAGGACAGGGGTGGGTCCAGGTGATGGGTAGGGACAGTGTGGGGACATGGTGGGGACAGGGCCAAGTGGTTGGGGAGCTGAATTCCCCCTGACTGCCACCCCCCTGTCCCCGTGCCCCCCTGTCCCTGTGTCCCCGTGTCCCCAGATCTCCCACAAGGCCGAGGAGTGTTTTGCCTTCAAGGCCCACCAGCGGTTCCAGGTGGGGCTCATCCAGCCCGCGGCCGTCACCGTCTACAGCTACTACAAGATTGGTGTGTCCCCTGTCCCCGTCCCGTGTCCCCCTGGGTCCCCCTGTGTCCCCCCAGTCCCCTCATTCTCCACAGAGTCCCCTCCGTGCTCCCTCCCGTCCCTTTGTCCCCCCCATGTCCCTGCTCACCTCCCTGCTCAGTGTCCCCACATCCCCTCCCACCCCCCGCTGACCTTCGCTGCCCCCCTGTCACCTCTGTCCCCACATTTCCTGCTGGCTCTTCCCCCGTTGTGTCCCCCTCCCCTCCCCTGACCCCTCATGTCCCCCGGTGTCCCCACAGACGACCAATGCACCCGGTTCTACCACCCGGACAAGGAGGGCGGGAAGCTGAGCAAGATCTGCCAGGGGGACGTGTGTCGCTGCGCCGAAGGTGACACTGGGGACACAGGGACAGGGGGGCGGGGGGGGACAGCACCCCTGCTGTGACGGGACGTGTCGGGGCTGTGACGGGACACGCCGTTGACGAGGTGTCCCGTGTGGTGGCTGTGATGGGGACATGTTACTGACAGGATGTCACGTGTCCCTGCCATGATGGGACACGCCACTGACAGGATGTCACGTGTTGTGGCTGTCCTGGGGACGTGTCCCTGCTGCGGTGGCTCCTGTCCCTGCTGTGGTGGCACCTGTCACTGCCACAACAGCCCTTGTCACTGCCGTGTCCCCGTGTCCCCACAGAAAACTGTTTCAAGGGGCAGGAGCAGGAGGAGCCCCTCACCGTCGAACAGCGCATCGAGCGTGCCTGCGAGCCAGGGGTGGACTACGGTGGGACATGGGGACACTGGGGATACTGGGGACTTTGGGGACATTGGGGACACTGGGGACACTGGGGGCATTGAGGACATTGGAGGGCATTGAGGACATGGGGGACATCGGGGACATTGGGGGACATCAGGGACATGGGGGACACTGGGGACATTGGAGGGCATTGGAGATATCAGGGACACTGGGGGCATTGAGGACATTGGAGGGCATTGAAGACATTGGGGACATCAGGGACACTGGGGACATCAGGGACATTGGGGGCATTGAGGACACTGGGGGACATCAGGGACATTGGGGACATCGGGGACACTGGGGACATCAGGGACACTGGGGACATTGGGGAGATCGGGTCATGGAAGGACAACAGGGGATATGGGGTCATGGAGGGGAGAGTTGGGGCACACAGGGGACAGTGGGGACACTGAGGGCATTTGGGACATTGGGGACAGCTGGGACAGTGGGGACATTGGGGACAGTGGGCAAATTGGGGACGGCTGGGACACTGGGGATATTGGGGGCATCGGGGACATCAGGTCACGGAAGGACAAGGGGGGATGTGGGGTCGTGGAGGGGGGACTTGGGGCACAGCGGGGACACAGAGGATGTGGGTGGGGACATGTGAGGCCATAGAAGGGACAGGGAGGGCCGGAGGGAGGGACATGGAGGGCCTGGGGGAGGACACGGGGACACAGAGGGTCCCCTGGTGCAGGGGTGACCCCGTGTTGTCCCCTCCCCAGTGTACAAGGTGAGGTTGGTGGCCACGGAGCAGACCTCGTCCCACGACAACTACATCATGGAAATCCTGTCCGTCATCAAGATAGGTACGGCCACCCTGGGGGGACAACGGGGACACCTGGGGGGGACAGGGACACCTGGGGGGGACAAGGACACCTGGGGGGCACAAGGACACCTGGGGGGGACAGGGACACCTGGAGGGGACAGGGACACCTGGGGGGGACAGGACACCCTGGGGACATAGGGGTGTCAACTGGGGCTGGGGTCAGCTGGGGGTGGGGACACCCAGGTGTCCGGTGTCACCTGGGGGGACTTTGGGGGGACCCTCAATGGGTTGGTGTCACCCACGTGGGGTGGGGACACCCAAGGGAACTGGGGACACCCAGAGGGGGTTGTTGCCACCTGCAACTGGGGACATGAGTGGGGCGGTGCCACCGTGGCTCTCTGGGGACCGAGTCCCCGTCAAGCGGAGGGTCCCTGTGGTGTCAGGGAGGAGGTGACAGGGTGACAAGCTCCCCGGGTGTCCCCTCCAGGCACAGACGAGGTCCAGGCTGGCAGCAACAGGACCTTCATGAGCCACCAGCGGTGCCGGGACGCCCTGAAGCTCCAGCCCGGCCAGGACTACCTGCTGTGGGGGCAGGGCAGCGACCTCTGGGCCACCGGCAGACGGTGGGGACACGGGGGACACCGGGGAGGGGCGGACAGGGGGCGTGGGGACACGGGAGGGGACGTGGGTGGGGTCTGTGGGGACATGGGAATAGAGGAACGGGGGACGGGGGACACGGGGGACACCAGGGATGGGGGGACAGGGACGTGGGAACGTGGGGGACACTGGGGATGGGGAGACACTGGAGATGGGGGACAGGGACGGGGAACGTGGGGGACACTGGGATGGGGAGCACTGGAGATGGGGGGACGTGGGGACACGGAGGGGACGGTGGGGCCTGGGGACATGGGAACATGAGACAGTGCAAACAGGGGACATGGGGAGACATCGGGGACAGGGGACATGGGGACACGTGTGGGGACATGGGAACACAGGGACATGGGGGAGTGGGAGCAGGGGACATGAGGACACAGGAGGACACTGGGGACAGGGGGCCAGGGCATGTGGGGACACGTGTGGGGACATGGGTGGAGCCTGTGGGGACACAGGAACATACCCTGTGGGGACAGTGGGGGTGGCGGTACAGGGGACATGGGGACACATGTGGGGACATGGATGGGGCCTGTGTGGACGTGGGACACTGGGGACACAGGGACACGGGGGGACACTGTGGACGGGGGACATGGGGACACTGTGGACAGGGGACATGGGGACACAGGAACACAGCGGGAACAGGGGAGAGGGGACGGGGGGACACGTGTGGGGACACAGCTGGGGCTTGTGGGGACACGGGGACACAGAAACCTTACCCGTGTCCCTGTGTGACCCCCGTGCTGCAACCCCCGTGACCCACGTCCCCGTGTCCTCGCTGTCCCCCGTGCCCCCAGGTTCTCGTACCTCATCGGGAAGGACACGTGGATGGAGATGTGGCCCTCAGAGGGGCAGTGCCAGGACCCCGAGTTCGAGACCCTCTGCCAGGACTTCATCCAGTTCTCCGAGGCCATGTCCCTCTTCGGGTGCCCCAGCTGAGCGTCCCCTCCCCCACCCAGGGATGCCCCCACCTTCCTGCCCCTCCCCACCCGATCATCCCCACCCCGATCATCCCCCTTTTTTTTTTTTTTTTAAGTTTAAAAAGTCCTTTCTGAGAGCCCGGCTCTGGATTTCCTTGAGGGGGACATGGGGGCTGTGGGGACATTGGAGGGGACAGTGGGTCATGGGGACACTGGAGGGGACACTGGTGGGGTGGGGTCATGGTCAGAGTTGGGGAGACTTTGTTGGGGATAAGGGGGTGGGGAGGGGGCTCTGCGGTGGCTCCATAAGGGATGATGGGGTCATGGGGACATCCCAGGGGACACGGGGACACCCTAGGGGACATAGGGACACCATAGAGGTCATGGGGACACCATAGAGGTCATGGGGACACCCCAGGGGACATGGGGACACCATAGAGGGACAAGGGGACTTTGTAGGGGACAGAGGGGTAGTGGAGGGTTCCACAGGGGCTGATGGGGACATGGGGACACCCTAAAGGTCATGGGGACACCACAGAGGGACAAGGAGACTTTGTAGGGGACAGAGGGGTAGTGGTGGGCTCCATAGGGGCTGATGGGGACATGGGGACACCCTAAAGGTCATGGGGACACCCTAAAGGTCATGGGAACACCATAGAGGGACAAGGGGACTTTGTAGGGGACAGAAGGGTAGTGGTGGGCTCCACAGGGGCTGATGGGGACATGGGGACACCCTAGAGGGACAAGGGGACTTTGTACAGGACAAAGGGATTTTGTAGGGGACAAAGGGGTAGTGGAGGGCTCCATAGGGGCTGATGGGGACATGGGGACACCAGAGGGGATGACGGGGACACCACAGAGCACTTTGTAAGGGATTTTGTAGGGGACAAGGGGTCACAGGGCCCCGTGGGGGTCACAGGGACATCAGGGACAGTGGGATCTCGAGGGGTTCCTCAGGGCCATACCTGGGCTGGGTGAAGCCCCGGCCTCAGAGCACTGGGGGGCTTGGAACTGGTGCAGGGGCTGGATGGGGCTGCGTGGCCTCGGGGCACAACCTGGGGTGCAAATCCCGGGGGCACGACTTTTGGGGCACAATCTGTGAATCCCGGCGGCACAACCCTCGGTGCTGCCCATCCCGGGGGCACAACTTGGGGTGCCCAGTCTGCACATCCCGGGGGCACAACCTGAGGTGCTGCACAACCCTCAGGGCACAACGCTCAGTGCACAGCCCTGTGTTCTGCACAGCCCTCGGGGCACTCTGAGGAATGGGGGTCTGGGTGGGGACCCACATCCCCAGGTCCTGCCCCCCACCCCCACACCCCCGACCCGGGAGGGGTCTGGAGCCCCCCCCGGGATGTCGAGCTCCCGCGTGGCCCCTCGCCAGGGAGTTTCCCTGAAACGAGGAAGGACCGTCCGGGCAGTCCCTCCCGCACCCCACGGGGGGCTCCCAACCCACCCCCCTGTTCAGGGGCACCCAAAGGTCTGGGACCCCCGCGCAGTGGGTGCCAGCCCCCCTCGGCTAAGGTGGTCTCGGGGGTCCTGGTGGTCCCAGCCCAGCCCCAACCCAGGTGGGCTCAGGTGTCCGGCCCCCCTCGCCCTTGGGTGGGTCCAGGGGCTGGTTACCCATTAACCACCGGAGCCACCATAAAGGGACCCCCCGAGCCGCCCTCCCTGCCCTCCCCCCCACCTCCTGCAGCCATGGGGGCTCCGCTGCTGCCCCTCGGCCTCCTCGGGCTCCTGCTGCTCCAGGCGACCCCCACCTCGGCCCAGCTGTGAGTCATTGGGACCCCCCACCCATGGGACTCCCCACCCATGGGACTCCCCCACCACCCATGGGACATCCCAAACACACATGGGACATCCCAAACACACATGGGACCCCCCCACCACCCATGGGACATCCTAAAAACACACATGGGACACCCCCACCGATCATGGGACACACCCAAACTCATGGGAACCACCCGCCCCCATGGGAACCCCCACCATCCATGGGACCCCTCCGACCCATGGAACCCCCTTTACTGGGACCCCACTTTTGCCTGTGAGACCCCCCTCCCCCATGGAATCCCCTTTTCTGCCCTCCTCCCCCAGCCTTGGGATCCACCCCGAGATCCCCCCACCCTTGGGATCCCCCTTGTAGGGCCCCCCTGGATCCAGGGACCCCCAGAACCAACACCCTCCTGCCGGGGACCACCACCCCAACTGGGACCCCCCTGCCAGGACCCACCCAGGGGTGGGTACTGGAGAGCAATGGGGGTGGGGAGGGGACACTGAGGGGGATTGGGAGTGTAATGGGGAGATTTGGGTCAGAGTCAGGTTCAGGATGAAGGTGAGGTTTAGGGTAAGGGTTAAGGTTTAGGGGTTAGAGTTAGGATTAGAGTTAGGGTTAGGGTTTAGGGTTAGGATTAGGGCTACGTTTAGGGTTAGGGTTTAGGATTATGGGTTAGAGGGTTAGACTTAGGTTTAGGCTTAGGTTTTAAGGTTAGGGGTTGGGGTTAGGGTTAGGGTTTAGGGTTTAAGGTTAGATTTACGGTTAAGGTTAGGGTTTGGGGTTAGGGTTTAAGATTTAAGGTTAGGGTTACGGTTAATGTTAGGGTTAGGGTTTAGGGTTTAAGGTTAGATTTACGGTTAATGGGAATAGAGGAACGGGGGACGGGGGACACAGGGGGACACCAGGGATGGAGGGGACAGGGGACGTGGGAACGTGGGGGACACTGGGATGGGGAGACACTGGAGATGGGGGGACAGGGGACGTGGGAACGTGGGGGACACTGGGGATGGGGAGACACTGGAGATGGGGGACAGGGGACGTGGGGACACGGGAGGGGACGCGGGTGGGGCCTGTGGGGGACATGGGAACGTGAGACAGTGCAAACAGGGGACATGGGGAGACATCGGGGACAGGGGACATGGGGACACGTGTGGGGACATGGGAACACAGGGACATGGGGAGTGGGAGCAGGGGACATGAGGACACAGGAGGACACTGGGGACAGGGGGCCAGGGCATGTGGGGACACGTGTGGGGACATGGGTGGAGCCTGTGGGGACACAGGAACATACCCTGTGGGGACAGTGGGGTGGCGGTACAGGGGACATGGGGACACATGTGGGGACATGGATGGGGCCTGTGTGGACGTGGGACACTGGAGACACAGGGACACGGGGAGACACTGTGGACAGGGGACATGGGGACACTGTGGACAGGGGACATGGGGACACAGGAACACAGCGGGACAGGGGAGAGGGGACAGGGGGACACGTGTGGGGACACAGCTGGGGCTTGTGGGGACACGGGGACACAGAAACCTTATCCGTGTCCCTGTGTGACCCCCGCGGTGCACACCCCCGTGACCCACGTCCCCGTGTCCCTGCTGTCCCCGTGCCCCAGGTTCTCAGTACCTCATCGGGAAGGACACGTGGATGGAGATGTGGCCCTCAGAGGGGCAGTGCCAGGACCCTGAGTTCGAGACCCTCTGCCAGGACTTCATCCAGTTCTCCGAGGCCATGTCCCTCTTCGGGTGCCCCAGCTGAGCGTCCCTCCCCCACCCAGGGATGCCCCCACCTTCCTGCCCCTCCCCCCGATCATCCCCCCGATCTCCCCTTTTTTTTTTTTTTTAAGTTTAAAAAGTCCTTTCTGAGAGCCCGGTTCTGGATTTCCTTGGAGGGGGGACATGGGGGGCTGTGGGGACATTGGAGGGGACAGCGGGTCATGGGGACACTGGAGGGGACACTGGTGGGGTGGGGTCATGGTCAGAGTTGGGGAGACTTTGTTGGGGATAAGGGGGTGGGGAGGGGGCTCTGCGGTGGCTCCATAAGGGATGATGGGGACACCCCAGGGGACATGGGGACACCTTAGGGGACATGGGGACACCACAGAGGTCATGGAGACACCCCAGGGGACATGGGGACACCCTAGAGGTCATGAGGACACCATAGAGGTCATGGGAACACCCCAGGGGCCATGGGGACACCATAGAGGGACAAGGGGACTTTGTAGGGGACAGAGGGGTAGTGTTGGGCTCCATAGGGGCTGATGGGGACATGGGGACACCCTAAAGGTCATGGGGACACCCTAAAAGTCATGGGGACACCACAGAGGACAAGGGGACTTTGTAGGGGACAGAAGGGTAGTGGAGGGCTCCACAGGGGCTGATGGGGACATGGGGACACCCTAGAGGGACAAGGGGACTTTGTACAGGACAAAGGGATTTTGTAGGGGACAGAGGGGTAGTGGAGGGCTCCACAGGGGTTGATGGGGACTTGGGGACACCAGAGTGGATGACGGGGACACCACAGAGCACTTTGTAAGGGATTTTGTGGAGGACAAGGGGTCACAGGGCCCCGTGGGGGTCACAGGGACATCAGGGACCGTGGGATCTTGAGGGGCTGCTTGTGGCTTCTCAGGACCATACCTGGGCTGGGTGAAGCCCTGGGCTCAGAGCACTGGGGGGCTTGGAACTGGTGCATGGGTTGGATGGGGCTGAGTGGCCTCAGGGCACAACCCGGGGTGCAAATCCCGGGGGCACGACTTTTGGGGCACAATCTGTGGATCCCGGGGGCACAACCCTGGGTGCTGCCCATCCCGGGGGCACAACTTGGGGTGCCCAATCTGCACATCCCGGGGGCACAACCTGAGGTGCTGCACAACCCTCGGGGCACAACGCTCAGTGCACAGCCCTGTGTGCTGCACAGCCCTCGGGGCACTCTGAGGAATGGGGGTCTGGGTGGGGAGCCGCATCCCCAGGTCCTGCCCCCCCACCCCCACCCCTCGACCCGGGAGGGGTCTGGAGCTCCCCGGGATGTCGCAGCTCCTGCGTGGCCCCTCGCCAGGGAGTTTCCTCGAAACGAGGAAGGACCGTCCGGGCAGTCCCTCCCCCACCCCACGGGGGCGGCTCCCAACCCACCCCCTTCAGGGGCACCCAAAGGTCTGGGACCCCCCGCAGTGGGTGCCAGCCCCCTCGGCTCGGGTGGTCTCGGGGTCCAGGTGGTCCCAGCCCAGCCCCAACCCAGGTGGGCTCAGGTGTCCGGCCCCCC